AGTCCTTGACATCGTGGTTCATCTGATGAGATCATCGTGGAGCATGTGGGAGCCAACATGGGTATCCAGATCCCGCTGTTGGTTATTGACTGGAGAACGTCTCGGTCATGTCTGCATGGTTCCCGAACCCGTAGGGTCTACACACTTAAGGTTCGATGATGCTAGGGTTATAAAGGAAGTTTGTATGTGGTTACCGAATGTTGTTCGGAGTCCCGGATGAGATCCCGGACGTCACGAGGAGTTCCGGAATGGTCCGGAGGTAAATATTTATATATAGGAAGTCCTGTTTTGGTCACCGGAAAAGTTTCGGGTTTTATCGGTAACATACCGGGACCACCGGGAGGGTCCCGGGGGTCCACTAAGTGGGGCCACAAGCCCCGGATGGATGCATGGGCCAAGTTTGGGAGGGGACCAGCCCCAGGTGGGCTGGTGCGCCCCCCACCAAGGCCCAAGGCGCAAGGGAGTGGGAAAGGGGGGCAAACCCTAGGGCAGATGGGCCCTAAGGCCCACCCTGGTGCGCCTCCCCCTCTCCCCTCCCCTTGGCCGCCCCTAGATGGGATCTAGGGGGCTGCCGCCACCCCTAGGGAGGGAACCCTAGGTGGGGGCGCAGCCCCTCCCCTTCCCCTATATATACTTGAGGTTTGGGCTGCCCACAACACACGAGTTCCTCTCTATCTTGGCGCAGCCCTACCCCTCTCTTTCTCCTCATATCTCGCGGTGCTTGGCGAAGCCTTGCTGGATCACCACGCTCCTCCACCACCACCACGCCGTTGTGCTGCTACTGGATGGAGTCTTCCTCAACCTCTCCCTCTCCCCTTGCTGGATCAAGGCGTAGGAGACGTCACCGGGCTGTACGTGTGTTGAACATGGAGGTGCCGTCCGTTCGGCACTAGGATCATCGGTGATTTGGATCACGACGAGTACGACTCTATCAACCCCGTTCTCTTGAACGCTTCCGCTTAGCGATCTACAAGGCTATGTAGATGCACTCTCCTTCCCCTCGTGGCTGGTCTCTCCATAGATAGATCTTGGTGACACGTAGGAAAATTTTGAATTTCTGCTACGTTCCCCAACAGCGAGCCCCCGCCCCGGCCATGCGCCGTGGAGTGCGCGGGCGGGGGCACCGACGCGCACGTCGACGCGGTGAGGATCCTGGCCTCCATGGCGCCGGAGATGGTGCCCTACCTGACCCGGGACGACACGGAGAAGCATGGACGGGTCAAGATGGCTGTGGAGGCCATGGCTGCCATCTTGTCTGCGGGCGGAGTCAGCGAAGATGCCAAGAAACCGATCTTTTGAGGATCCTCAAGGAGGCCGCATCACCGGCAGCCATCCTGTGCATGGCCGCGGCTGTGCAGGTACGCGCGCGGCCTGCCCGAGCGTCGATGGTCCGAGCCGACGCAGTGCCCGCGCTCGCGCTCGCCGTGGCGGCCGCGCCCACAGCCGCGGCGGAGTCCGCACTGATGCTGTAGTAGAGGCGGCCCACTGCAGCCGCGTCGGCGGTCGTGATGGGCAAATGGGGCGCGAGGCCGTGGTGGCGTTGTTGTGGCTGTCCTGTTGCGCGGGAGGCGGGGAGCGGAAGATGAGGGAGGCGCTGGCAGCCGTGCCGGAAGCGGTGGGGAAGCTGTTGGTGCTGATGCAAGGGGACTGCTCGCCGGCGACGTCGAAGATGGCCGGCGAGCGTGAGCCCCGCCCCGGCCATGCGCTATCCGCTCCGCGCCGGGCACGAGCCCCTCCGCAGCCATGCGTGCTCCGCTTCGGCTGTGTGTGTGGTAGGTGGCGGATGGAAAAGAAGAGGAGAGAAGAGAAAGAAAAGAGAAAGGAAAGGAGAGAGGAGAGAGAGGGAAGAAAGAGGGGCTGGCAAGTGGGCCTGTGCATGCAAAAAAGACATGTCGGCGTCCCCAGCTGCCCCCAGGGGCCTGGGATTGGGGTGGGTGTGTCGGCGCTAACTTTCGTCAAATCCGGCGAAAAACAGCTTTCTGGGGGCCCGAGTGGGGTGTTTTTTGCCCGCCGACGTCTAAAAAGTGGCCTGGGAGGGCGTCTTGGGGGGCCGGCTGGAGATGCCCTTAGAGGCCCACGTATACGCCTCTCCCACTCCCTCCCTCCCTCTTCGACTTTCACGATTGGATCGAGGGCGACGAGCACGGCAGCACGCTGCCGCGGCCTGTCTCGCCGTCGCTCGTCGCCGCCGCACTGTCAACTCACCACGCAGACGCCTCGAGCGACCTTTTCTCCGCCGCCATGGCAAGAGTGAGGTAATTGACCCAATACAAGACAAATACGCCCTATGGTAACTTCTTTCGTACACTATGTCAAATTTGCAACTTGAAAAAGTTTGGCTTGATGCAAAACAAGTAAGCCTTGTAAATCCAAATGGAGGGACTATATGGTAGCTGATTTAAATGGCATTAATTCCCTTTTGACATTTTCTAACAATATTTGCATGCGAGCGCTACTACTAAATCTTTTATTCTCAAAATATTTTTTTATAGAAAATCATCAAGAAATCACTAGTATGCTACAAATAGCATGCAATCAATTTAACTTTATTGTTCACTTGGGTTTAACAACTTGTTTGGGACTGAAAGATTTTGTTGCAGCTCGGGTTTACCCTTTAAATATAGAGTAAACAAAACACACAAGATAGGTTTGTTCCAATCAATCCAGAACATCCAAAAAAAACATAATGGATGAAAAATTTATCTTTATTACGAATTACTCTCATAACTTTCCCTAAATAACTGCCTTATGTGCATGTTATTGGTTTGCCATGTTCCATTGTTGTATCTTTCTTCTATTTGCTGCATTCTTTCCTCGCAAGTCAAGACGCTCCATAGCCTCTTCTCTCAATTGCATATGTCAGTTTCAGTTTATATTTTCGATCTATACCACCCCTCCTTCTTGGTTATATATTTTGACATGTTTGATGTGATCTATAGTATAAATTATATGTTGTACATACACCAGTGCGCATGTGTATTTTCGTCCAGAAAGTCCGTTGCCATGAACATAGGTTGTGTATTGTACATCCACTTATATGCATTTTTCTTTTGACAAACAAATCAAATACTTTGACAAATTATCACAGAGTCATATGCATTAATCTACATATTTGCTTCATTGTTGCTCAGCCGTTCAAAAAATGTAAGGCATATAGATTTTTTTAAGTCAAACATTTTTAGGTTTAACCGAGTTCATAAAAATTCACCAGCATCTTTATGATACGAACACATACTTTATGATGGATCCACTTATTTTATTATTGGTATTGCATATGTAAATATATTTTTTATGTACTTACACACACATTAAAAGTTTGATTTAAGACACCATTTATAGACCTTATATTTTGCACGAGTAGTGTGATCCAAAATGTGTTCATTTATCATCAAAATATGTTTGTTTATCATGTACCAACAAGACGAAACGCCGAGCATGCACGATGAATGAAGGTTCATCACACATCCGGCATTCATATATTTAGCAAGTCCCCGCACGCAAGACCAAACCGCCGGCCAACAAATCTAGAGACAATTTTCTTATCACCACACAGGTGGATCCAAAACCAAGTTATTAGTTGAATTAATTCTTACTGGAGAAGGATTGCAAATTGATCACCATCTCAACAACTTGTGTGCGGTTCTTTAGAGAGACATGTGAAGTTGCCACCTTCTATACTACAGTGCTTCACTGTAATTGATTCTATGTATCCTCCAGCTTCTGACGTAGTAAAGCATATGTCTACTATATACAACCTATATTAGAAATTAACTGAATTTAGTTTTTCCCTAGGTCAAAATTCTGTAACTTTGACCAAGTCTACATAAAGATGTGCTAATATGTGCAACATCTACCAAGGATAATTTCATCACTGCCTCACAATGGTACGATAATCAAACGTGATTTATGTAGTCGTGGGAACACGTTACCCCAGGTCATCAGGGACAATTAAGACACAATTTACCAAAGCTCCCCCTCCCCTGTCCCCTAGCCATGGGTAATAGCCCTAGCCCGTCTTGATTGATACTAGCGGGTAGTGCGCGGCGGCACGCCGCGCCACATGAATTGATAAGCTATTTGTTATCTTTGTAATTTCTGGTAAGTTCTCGCAAGACTCTGATTCGTTGCAAAGTAGTTCATATAAGGAAATGGTAGGCGACATGCCGTGCCTCGCCTATCCCTCAAGAAAAAAAAAATGGCCATATTGAATGGCAATTCTGGCTTGCTTGGTGGAATATTTTTGGTGTTTTTCTTGTTCACACTGATCTGCAATACTACATAGATGAATAGTCAATTAGCCTAGTAGTTCAAAAGTGGCGAAAAAAACTATATGGTTGGTTCTAGTGCCGCAGAGTAAACACTGACCAGTTACTTGGTATAAATAGTTAGAATCTCAAACTATAATCATGTTTCATTATTTTTTATACTTCCAACATTTTTGCACTGAAGTACACACAACACTATTTTACAACTCCATTTATTTTGTATATTCTAAAAGGCACACCTATGTGAATCTTAAAAACAAACTGGGTGTTGTTTACCTTGTCGTTGGCATTGCAATTGTCTTGTTCTAGACAACAAGAAAGTAGCCTCGTGCACTTTCAATTTAGGGTATCGATGTCCAGCAGATTTTTTGATCTCTCACCAATCCACCAATGGTCACACACATCCACTACTGCCCATAGCTGCTCGGAAAACCAAGCCTAAGAAATGTAATTTCCTGATGAAGAGACCAGAGTCAACAACATCACCGGTATTCACAAGTCCAATTTTGAATCACTTCATACAGGTAGAAGTAGAACTTTTAACAAAATGTCTGTTTCAAAAGCTGATCCGTACTACTAAAATACACACTACACACATTGGAAGTTCTACCCTCTTAGATAAGCTCTACCATCTTAGAGCAGCATATGTTGATTATCTGACCCTTGTTAGCTCAATAGTTGTAGCAAGCTCCAACATTCAAATGGCAAAGTTTTTTGGTTGGGGTGTTACCCCTATCAGTGTACTCTGCGAAGTAGATTCGATTGTATGAGAGGTTCCTCAGAAAATACAGTTGTATTGCTGAACTCTACCTTCCCATTGTCCTCTAGGAAATTCCATCTTTCTAGCATACATTAAATAAATAAGAAGGATATAATCAGATCTTCTAAAAGGCAATTGCAGTACTAATCATAAATTGGGAGCTTCCTAACATAGGTAGTACAATTATATGACCAAACTAAGATGAATACAGAAGTTCACATGTCCAAGAGATTGCAAGTATTCTTTCACAAAAGTATCAAGTATCATTCCAATATCTAGCATAGCAGCAAATCTGTTGATCAAATACAGAGGTGATTGTGCAGATCTGCAAGCTTATAGAAACAATCATGAGCAACAGTATAAGAAAATTGCAGTTTATACTAACATATAAATAACCTACCGGTACATATTCCACTTCCCAGTTTGCAACTTCCCAAGAAGAACAAAGCTGTAACCCTGCATTGAAGAAGCTATGTAAATTGAATTAACAATAACAATTTATTCCTAATAAGCGATTTCCCAAAATATAAATTATGTGCCAGTGTCCAAGCAAAATGCTAACTGGAATCATAACATGTACAGTTGAAACTGAGAAATGATAAGTTGTGTTCCGATGTACTCATCGAATCATCACTGACAGTTTGTTTCAAAATAAGACACTTCCCAGAGAAAGAAAAAAAACACATGCACTGTCGCCCTAGGGTACCTGCCATTTAAAGTCAAGTATGTAAAGCTCCACATGAGGACCAAAGTGAGTAGGTGAATATAATTCATTCTGCTCCAATCATGTGATTATGAACATAACAAAGCCATTTTAGTAGAAATGGAAGATGAAGCACTCGACCAAGGCTTTGGACCAAGGCCAAACACTTGAACCAGAAATGCACCAGTACCAACAACATGTCCTTGTACTTTATCAGAACCTTCATGGCAACAAAAAGCAAGGTAAGAAGAAAAGTAGTTTACCAAAGGGAGTGCGCAGTGGAGCACCAGTTGCTTCAAGGCTCACTGACGTTCATAGCAATATGGCACAATTACAGGCTCAAATGGAGAATCGTTAGGAAAATTTAGAGTTCCAAGGCAAATATTGAGTGTGATTGATAACTGATATACAATGGCCTCATATAGAACTGAACAAAATCTACTGCTGGGAAATTTGTCTAACTGAAAGTATATTTTTCTCACTCCAAGGTAAAAAATCAACTGTCCAGAACAGTGGCCTGATAAGCATTGGGGAAAATTTCTCGCTTCAAGCAAGACCATGTATGGATAACTCCAAGGCGATCCAACAGTCTAGAACAATGGCCGAATGCCCTAATCCTTATGCATTAGGTGCACGAGTGTCGAGTGCAGGGATAACTGAGACATCCAGATTTTCAAACCTCTAACGCGTAACAAACACGTAACAAAATAAGACGTGCTCACATGCATAAAGTATGGTTTGAGGATGAAAAAACCTGCCCTATGTCTCTCCTGGCGCGCTCCTTGCTGGCCTCTCCGCATCCACTTCGTTCGTTCTCCAATTCTGCTCCTCGTGGGCGAGACAGCCGAGGTGGAAGTGGATGGACGCAACCAGGTAGAGGAAGAATAGACGGAACCCACATCATTGGGGCTGGCCGACAGCCGGTTGCAGGTCGAGACGTCGAGTTCCAGGACCGGCAGGCGGCTGGTGCTGCTGGGAGATTGTTGGGGAGCCGCCGCTCTCTCTCAACCTTGTCGAGTGATGGGGAGCCCAGCCGCCGTGGGACTGCCGCCAAGCCGTCCGTCGGCTCCTCAGCGGACGGAGACAAGGAGATTAGCGGCGGGCGACGTGACACGGGGAGTGGTGCTCTCCGTCCATGCCATCCTCTTGATGGCGGGTTCCCTGGCTGCAAAGCTAGGAGGTACGGCTGTGGCGATTTCTTCGGAGAGATCGCAAACAATAGAGAGATAGGGGGTGGGCGACGAGAGGACCAGGAGGCCAAGCATTTATAGGCGGCCCAAAAGAAACATACAAACGGCTTCGACTGGAAAAGCCCAGAAGAACACTGCGTGTCAATCGGAAGAATTTGTAGTCAACGGCGGGGGTCGGACGTGGCTACATGCATGGCCCGTGAGGGGCGCGTGGAGCGGGAACGAACCCACGCGAAGCTGGAAGCGCCACATAAAGTTGAACGTGTAGACCAGTACAAAAATAAGGAACTCTCTGGTAGAACGTGCAGCAGGAGACAAGAACTGGCAACCACAACGTCAAATCGAACTGTTTAAAAGACCCAACCAGAGAAAAAAAATCACGCCCAAAGAACTACAACGTACACGCGTCACGCTTCAAACAGCGGTAAATTTTTTTCCAAAAAAACCAGGTAAATGAATCCCTTACGGGCCTAGTCTTTTTAGTATATTGTGGAAAAGATTACAATCAGGGTTGCAAAGAGTGGATCCACAAGTTGGTAGGCAACTTGGCAGGCTATCATGGACAATCTAGGCGAGATGCCCCAAATCACTAGGCACTAGTAGAAAAAGGGTCTTTAGTCCCAGTTCATAAGGGTCTTTAGTTCCGGTTCTGGAACCGGGACTAAAGGGTCGGTACTAAAGCCTCCCCCTTTAGTCCCGGCTCTTACTGAAATCGGGGTGGCCGCTGCCTGAAGGTCCACCTTTAGTCCTGGTTGGTAACACCAACTGGTACTAAAAAAAATTTATGAAATTTTTTGAATTTTTTTTAGATTTTTTTTCAAATTTCAAATTTCTAAATTATTTTAACCTCTAATCTCTAATCACCCCTCATCACTGCTCAATTTAACCTTTAGTCTCTAATCACCACTCATCATTCTAAATCATCTAACTTCCCAAACGGTCACCCATCCTCTCACTACTCCAGCCTGAGCACGCTTAACTTCCGGGTTCTATTCTCCCTCGTTTCCAAATATGCACTTGCTGTTTTCCTGACAATAGTAAGATGTCAATCCTATTAACCCTCAGGAATTTAGCTTGAGCATGAAGTTACACATTTCACTGTTTGAGTTTGAAACTATTGTTCTAAAAATCAACAATTATTTAGTAAAACTAATATTTCTTGAATAAGTAGTTTGACCACAGTTTGATCAGATTTGACCAAAATTCAAAAAACTAAAATAATTATTTAGTAACACTAATATTTCTTGAATAAGTAGTTTGACCACAGTTTGACCATAGTTGACCAAAATTCAAAAAAACTGAAATAATTATTTAGTAACACTAATATTCTTGAATAATTATTTAGTAACACTAATACTTCTTGAATAAGTAGTTTGACCATAGTTTGACCAGATTTAACAAAAATTCAAAAAAAAAACATAACTTTTTTCCTTTTAGAATTTGAGGATTCTAAAAAATTGCAAACATGCCGTAGGCTGTCTCCATCGGATGCGGATTTTCGTGCTGAATTTTTTGATACATTATACATTTTTCTCCGACATCGTATGCAAAAGTTATAGCCGTTTTACATTTTCCCTACACTTTTTGCAAAACATGTCCAAATTTAAGTTTCTAATTTTCCTAACTAGTAGATGTAGTAATATAACTACGTCTCGAAGGATTTTATTTTTTAAAGTTTTTATC